AGTTGGTCAGGACAACCAGAGCTGGAAGATTTTACCTATTATAAAGGAGATAACAAACAACTTCACACACGAAACACCCCAAAATATCTAAATCTATACATTACATTGGCACATGGCAGTTTCACAAGGTTCACCAATAACTCGATCTCAACAGATTATAGAGGATTTTGACAGTCCAAAGTGGGTTACCGAAATGGGGCTTTGGACTAAACACATTAATAAATATGATAACATAAACATGCAATTCCATTTACAAATCAGAGACTATGTACTTTGTCTTATAATGGTTTAAAATGTTGAATAATATTGTGTGTAGAAAATACTGTATTTGAATAGGGAGTCAGTTTGCTGGAGAAGTATGGTAACTTGAGCACTATCCTCTCCTCCTTTCTACTTTATCTACTTTATCTGTTTAGCACTTTTAGGATTCTGACTAGTTTGTCAGACCAAGTATCAAGGTTGATTGATACTGTATGAAACAAGTATCAAGGGTTACTGCCGACGCTACCACAAGGGGAGGGGTAGATTTTAATATTACCGTCTCCAATCCCAACCATGTTATTTCACTTAATGAATGACAAAACGTATTCATGGGCAATACTTGTGTTTTAAAAGGCAAATAAATAAGGGATGAGGATTACATTTTTGTTTGTCAAACTGGATGGATTAAAAAACCAATCCAGGTCTGTTTTTTCCCCTAAAGAAAGTCTGTTTTAAAGGGGTTACAATACATGATAATCCTCATTTATCATAAATACACATCAAACAATATCAATGTCTTTTAGGTAACACTTTATAATACTGTTTTCTTATAAATCATTGACTGCTAGTTAATAAAACATTAACGTGTGTCTTATCTACATTAAAAAATAATCACTTTAACATTAACGACTCATTGACAAGTGTTATTTGTAACTGTTTTGGAAATCATTACTTACTAAAGAACAAATAATCTTGGAATCATTAAGACATGTTTTATTTAAGTTTATAATCATTTATGAATGATTAACACATGATTTACTAATTGTTACTAGTTCATTATCAAATGTTGATTATTCACATGTAAACATTATAATAACCATGTGCTACTCATGAGCTAATTATTAACAACTCATTTATGAATTCATATATAAATACCTAATGATTGTTAAATCATTAAGAATGTTGAAATTCACATCTAATACTCATTACCTAAGTGTTTCCAGCTAATGAACAATGATTAGGTGATATGTTAAATATTCATCAACATCAAAATAAAAGTCAAGACAAACAACACTTATGAATCCCTCAAGAAATGTGGAAGTTGGGCTCATGGCATGGATTAGTCCAATGTGCTGGATTAATTTAGTTATTGTGAATACTCTGCGGGAACATTTCCAACAATGGTATGGCATCAATAAAGTAGATTTATTTTTGCGGTTCACAATTATTGGCAAAGGTTGGTCCCCCTCCAGTGATATGTATCTTTGGAGGAAGTGTTCTTGAGGCAGTGTGGATACTGAATGTTAAAATGAAGTATGTGCAGAATGCAGCGATGACTACATCTTCAACGACGGAACAACGGCACACCTCAACGCTGTCCACTTTTGGGACTCTGGCGGTGAACGCCTTTTTCCAGTCTCCGAGCGGCTGAATAGTAGGATACAGATGTTTTGGGTAATCCTGTAAATTAAAATGACAACATTGAAGTTATATAATATATGATTTTGTGACTAATTCATTTATACATTCTGCTTATTCTGCTCATCTTCACACTTGAAACTTAAGTCCAGGTGACAGAAATCTTTTTAAATGTAAGTAAGTATAGTTAAAACGTACTACATACCTCTCCAAGAGTAATGAAATGATCGATCTTATCAGCATGAAAATGGTAGTTGCTCGCAGATCAATATCTGTGGAAATAGAAATGGTATTTTAATACATACATTACATTAACAATGACAAAGCTCGTATCAGAGCTTTCTGTTGGTGAAAGTGCTCCTTCTATTCAGAGTTTAAAAAATAATAGTTCATTTTCGTGTTGAGAGAACAATTTTCTTTCTGTTTCAGTGCAAAAGGATATTGTTGAGAATGTTAACTTATTTGTTTTTTTTCAAGGCGAACTATGATGCTGATTTTAACGGTTTTAATCCCTGAAATCCACAAGTTGGCTAAAGTGTTCCAGTAAGATTTTGTTTTTTCTTCAAGACAAATTAAAAGAGTATATATTTTATTGAAATCATTTCCCGTAATCCTGTTAGATCACTGATGGCACTTAATCTTCTTTCTTTAAAGGAATAGGCCACAGTGTTTACATACTGACACATGTTCTTACCTTAGACTGATATGTACCTGTCTGGTCTGTGTCCGTGTGCTCTGTCATGCAAACGCAGCACAAACACAGCCTCTTCCACAGACTGTATAGTTCCAAATCAGCTCCCGTTAGAAGCTCCCAAACTCTTCCACGTGTTCCCTTTAAATACAGTTACGTGACGTGTTACACTACCAAGTATAGTAACACAGAAATGTAACATGTCCATTTTCTCAGCGGATAAAAGAGGAACTATATTGTGAGGCGTAATAATACAGACTTCTGTCCCGCTCACTTCCGTCAATAGAGGTTTTGCACCACCATGTGACCTACATAGCAACCGTCACTAAGCGGCCATGTTAGATGGCAGGTATGAAACTTTTTACAGTCAGATTCAACACAGTGGCCGAGAGCGCACCTTTACTTAGACCGAGGGGAAAGTTTTGCTGTGTCTTTAATTGTGGTAAACGCTCAGAGCGAGACAAAGATGTCTATTTTTTAGAAATACCGGCCGTAATTTGCCATCAAAGAAAAGAAGATCGAAAAAACGAAGGCAGCA